AAACAACATAACGTGGAGAAATGGCTCACCTGAGCAGCATTACCATCACTTATGAGTAAAAGCACCCACGAACATGAGATGAGCTTTCAACTGTCTTTTTCTCCCCAAACGTTACCTTCATCCACACACCTTCCAGTCCTCCCTGCTGGTCTTCTTTGGTTCAGAGTTGATCTCCGTCTCTGCTTTGTGTTGCAGGTTGGAGTTGTATGCCAAAGTGCCAAACCTGAGGATTCTGGCCTGTGGAGGAGACGGCACGGTGAGTCAGCAAAAATACTGAAAGACTGCATTTAACATTGATGCTAGATGACAAACAAAACAGGTGAACTTCACTGATAAAACTCCAGTATCTCTACAGCATTTGATTTGTTTTAAACCTTTTATTTTCTTAGTTATTCTATTTCTCAGGTTTTCCTTTTTTATGTGCGTTTTTGGTGAAGCTTGTGTACTTTTATGCATGTAATCCTTTATAATTCAGAACTGTGACACTAACTAAACCATTCATTTTAGGTATTGACATGTTCTGTGTGTCTTTGTTCGTTCAGGTGGGCTGGATCCTGTCGGTTCTGGACCAGTTGAAGCTCCGTCCTCCGCCTCCTGTCGGCATCCTTCCTCTGGGGACCGGCAACGACCTGGCCAGGACCCTCAACTGGGGAGGAGTGAGTTTAGCTGGAGTTCATCTGGAGTTTATCTGGAGTTTAACAAAACTTTGACTGGAGTTTAACAAAGGTTTATCTGGAGTTTAACAAAAAGTTTGGTGGAGTTTTACCAGAATTAGAGTTGAGTTAACTGGAGTTTAAATTTAGCTTATCTTAAGTTTGCTTTGAGTTTGACTGGAGTTAGACAGGAGTTAAACTAGAGACTGATTGAAGTTTAACTGGAATTTGATTGGAGTTTAACTGGAGTTTTTCTGGAGTTTAACTTCAGTGTATCTGGAGTCTAATGTTACTTTGACCATAGCTAAACTAGAATTTAACTGGAGTTTAACTGGAACTTAACTGGAGTCTAACTGGAGTAGGACTGGAGTTTAACTGGAGTTTGACTGGAGTGTAACTGGAGTTTATCTGGAGTTTAACTAAAGTTTTGCTGGAGTTTGAGTTGAGTTAACTGGAGTTTAAATTTTGTTTAACTTAAGTTCGACTTGAGTTTAAGTTGAGTTTGACTGGAGTTTTACAGGAGTCAAGCTAGAGTTTAACTAAAGTTTAACTGGAATTTGACTGAAGTTTAACTGGAGTTTAACAGAAGTTTCCTGGAGTTTAACTTTAGTGTATCTGGAGTTTGGATCTTAGCTGGAGCGTAACTGAAGTTTGGCTTGAGTTTGACTGGAGCTTAACTAAAGTTTAACTGGAGTGAAACTGGAGTTTGATTAGATTGATGAGTGTCTTCACTGTGATTGATGGGGGACGAAGTCTGCAGCCTTTGTTTGGGACAAAAATGCAATCAGAAGTTTATCTGAAGCTAATTTGAAGCTTCAGACAACCCAATAATGAGCGGTGGGCAGTCGACAGTTTGTTCTGTGTAGCTGATCAAATTTGACAGAAACCGTGTCAGCTCTGGCCTTGGAGGAGGAATAACGTGGTGCATTGCTCAGATAATGTAAAAGCAGCTGAAACCTGCTCTGAGGTCCAGACTGTAGTTCAGAACGTCTCAGAGGTATATCAGAAGCAGCGTATCATCACACTGCTCAGCCTGAGACTCCCTCTGTCCTCCTCCTCCGTCAGGGCTACACCGATGAACCCATCACAAAGATCCTCTCACACGTGGAGGACGGAAACGTCGTTCAGCTGGACCGATGGAACCTGAACGTGGAGGCGAATCCAGAGGCCCGAACCGAGGAGAGGGACGAACACCAGACAGACAAGGTCGGTTCAACATCCGCCGTGATAACAGAAGCAGAGCTGCTGCCGACCGCTCAGACACTGTAAACATGTTCTTCTGCTGCTGTCTCTCAGCTTCCAATCGACGTCTTCAACAACTACTTCAGTCTGGGCTTCGACGCTCACGTCACACTGGGCTTCCATGAATCCAGAGGTCAGTAAACTCACACCCACACAGAATTCAACAGAGATACATTTATTTACCTCCATGAAGAACCAAAATATAACAATATATCCCAACTGTACAAGTCTGTACCCGCATACACCACAGTGGCAGCACATCAGTTGCTGTTTTTTTAAAAGCCAACTGGCCATGAGTAAAAACAGACGTCTTTGACTGTACGCAGTCATTATTAGGTCCTATGTGTTATTTATTTACATAATACTGTGGCTGACCAACACTGTTGATAAATAAGATGCAAGAAATTTGTCTCATGAGCGCAAAGAAGTGAAAAACAAGATGCAAAGTGAGACGCAGACTGAGACAAAATTATGACAGTGATGCAAAACAAGACACTAAGCATGTTGCACACAAAGAAACACAAATCGACATGAAAAATGAGATGCAGGATGAGTTCAAAGAGACGCAAAACTGGGATACAAACGAGATGCACAATGTCCACGAAGACGTGGAAAATGAGACTGAAAAGGGGGACACAAAATGAATACAAAGTGATGCAAAACAAGACACAAAACCAGTTGCAAAACGTCAACAAAGACACGCAAAAACGAGAGAAAAACGAGACGCAGAATGATGAGAAAGAGATGCACAATGACAACAAAGAAACAAAAAAAGAGGCACAAACGAGACAAAACATTTCGACAAAAAGGTGCAAAACAAGACAGAAAACAACAAAACTCAAAATGACATTGAAGTGAGGTACAGAATTATGACACTGACCACAGACATAAGACTGAATGAGACGTGAAACCATCAGACACGCCAAAGCGATGACCACAAACGACCACAGAGAGGAACGAAGCGACTCTGTGGTCGGCTAGTTGCTGGTAACAAGCAAAACACCACAAGGAGGCACAAAATGAGATGCATGATGAGACACACAACGACCACAAAGAGGCGCAAAGCAGCCGCACACGACTTCCAGCCACAACAATGAGGTGATGAGCTGTTCTGTCTTTCATGTGTCAAGTGCCGTCCTCACCGTGTTCTTTAATTATCTGTCATGTTGTCTTCGGTGCTGCGGCTCCATTTGCTCTGTCCTTATCTGCCTCCTTATCGGGCCGCAGGGATCAATGAACATGTATCTAATCACATTAAAATCTCATATAAGGAAACTGAGGAACCAAATGACGAATGGAAATGTAAGCAGGGAGGTTGTTGTTCTGTGTTTTCGCCGACTTTAGTGGCTTTAATGCACCGTCCGACTGTTGTTTTTGTGTTTTCAGAGGCGAACCCGGAGAAGTTTAACAGCCGCTTCAGGAATAAGATGTTCTATGCAGGGGTGAGTGTCCTCGTCGCTCTGTTCTGTTCTGTTCTGTTGATCCGTGTTCACCTGAACATGTTGGTGATGTTCCTACATGTGTGTGTGTTTCAGACAGCCTTCTCAGACTTCCTATCAGGCAGCTCCAAAGACCTCGCCAAGCACATCAAAGTGGTGGTGAGTCGCGACCGAAACCGAAAATCGGCATTAAACTTTACCCAGAATGAGGAAGACAGAGCTCCTGAAAAATGGAGGCTTCACAGCTATTTAACTATTTACATGTTTACAACCTCTACAAACTACATTTTTCACTGTGCTCTGTATATCAGCCGTAGGAAGATGTTCCACCATCAGCTGAATGTATCGTCCAACAACCTGCTCCTCTGTTCACTGCTTCTGAGCTGTTTCTGCTGCATTTGTTTTATTTCAGTTATTCTATTTCTAAATTAATAATTTTAACAAAATATCACAATTTTACACTTAGTTATCTTTAACAATAAAATGGATGGACCATCTGAGAATGAAATATCCAAATCTGATTCTTTCTGATATTACAGTTTCTGGTTGATAAAAGGTGTCAATTTGGTGATTTAAAAAAAACAAACAAAAAAAACATCCAATTTGATCCTGAAGCCAGGGTTTTGGGGTTCTGAGGGTTAAAGGTTGCAAACATAATAATATCAGTCTGTGTTATTTTTGCTCCACTGTCTAAGTATTTACTTTTTTGTTATTTGGGATCCAATAAAATAGTTTTGCAAAATATTCTGGCTTAATTTTAAGAGTTTCATACATTTTTGGAGCTGGGAATTTTTAGTATTTTCAGCCTCAGAAAAAACATTTTAACTTGGATCTTCAAAAAGATACTGAACCCTTAAAACGTCTCCAAGTTAACATATTGTTTTTCATACAAAAAGACCACATTCATGACATTTGGTGAGGACACAGACAAAATAGTTTATAGCAGATTCCAGTTATTGAATTGTTCCAGCAGAGGACACACTTTTAATTATCAGCGCACAATTTTCAAACAAGGGTGGTACTGAGGCCCCACAGAGAGTTTATACATATGGATGTGACCATATTACCTTCTAAAGATGTGGTCTTTGGTTGGACATCAGTGGAATTTGAAGCCCTGATCCTGTTTTCCTGCCTCCTCAGTGTGATGGTACAGACCTGACAGCCAAAGTTCAGGACCTGAAGCTGCAGTGTCTGCTCTTCCTCAACATCCCCAGGTATTCATTCGCCCTCTGCACCTTAATACAACTGTATAGAAATACGGAAAGATAGAAAGATAGAAAATACCTGCCTTCCAACACTTACGTAAATGTTAAACTTACTTTTCCTATTAATGTGACTGTTGTAGCTCATTGTAACTTTTAATTTTTTCAAATAGGATGAGCTTCCAGTGTTGATCGTTACATTAATCACTTTAAGTTTGTATTCAGTCTGACGAAGAAAAGGAAACAGAAATCAGCCACCTGGAATGAATGGTCCAGTTTTTTCATTGCGTTTCGTGCTCCTGCTGCAGGTATTGTGCCGGCACCATGCCGTGGGGTCACCCCAGCGAGCATCAGGACTTCGAACCTCAGCGCCACGACGACGGCTGCATCGAGGTCATTGGTTTCACCATGACGTCTCTGGTGAGCTCGTAGCAGCACCACTCCACTAGACCACACACATTGAATGTCCCGATCAGGTTTGGTTTCCACCTGATTCAATCTTAGTCATGTAGTATTAAGTATATGCCTATCCTGAATCTGAAAATGATACAATTTTCTTTGATAATACACACTTTGCATACTGTATATCAGCTGCAGTACCCGATTGTTCCGCCAGGTGGAGCCTCTTACTGTTTAATGCTGTAGCAGCCAGAGTAACCGGTCACTCGGACTAAGGGCAGTTTGTGCTGGTAAGCAAAGAGCCCTGTGGAGGTTTACTTAGCAACGGGCACCATGACAAAGACTTCCGTGATGCTTAATAACTTCCAGCTAGAGCTTTTGCGTTTAAGACAACCTTGGATCAGCTACGACAACATTCTTTTATCCCAGTAGCACATGTAACATGGCCGCCTTTGCAGTCAAAGTTGCGTGTCCATTGACTATAACGGCAATCAACACAGGACAATTACGCACAGTGCTTAGTTTGTATTATCAGTGGCTGGACTATTAAATGGTGATGCTGTTAATTATTGGTTAAAAAAAAATTATACAAACTTTGCTCCCTTTACTCCTGCCCCAAATTGTGCTGCCCCTTTAACAGGACAACTGATGTAAACAAAGGATCGAGTTTAGATTTGCAACCATACGATCAGCTAAAAAATGTCTCGACTGGCCCTGATCCCAATCTTTGAAATCAGGAAGTTCCTACATAAAACCATATTATATAAAATGTTGATATAAATGTCTGAACCTGGAAAACAGGTGGTTCTTTAATACTGTCAACAGATGAATCATTAAACAGGTATTAAATTTTCTGTATATGTATGTGTGTGTGAGTGTTAAATGTCTTAAATTAAACCTGGTGAACCTGCAGAGATCCTGCACACTCATCTGTACTGTAAATGTCACCAAACGGCCCCCTCCCTCAGCTCGGAGCTAAATGACACCACCTGATGCGACCTGTTGTTGTTTGTGTGCAGGCCACACTGCAGGTGGGCGGTCACGGCGAGCGACTCCACCAGTGCAAAGAAGTGACCCTCACCACCTACAAGTCCATCCCCATGCAGGTGGACGGCGAGCCCTGCAAGCTGGCTCCATCCATCATCCACATCAATCTGAGGAACCAGGCCAACATGGTGCAGAAGGCCAAGAGGAGGATCTCCATGCCCCACCTCAACGAGTACGTCCCAGTAAAGTGACAGCAATGACAGCCCTCCATGTGTTTGTCCCAAAGCAACATCCTGATTCAGCTGAAAACGCTTTCATTAAAGATGCACTCATTCGTGAAAGTCTGTTTCCCATCACAGGCAGCAGGGATGTCACAAAACCAGAAATTTAGTAGTTGGTACTATTTAAATTCCATAATTCTCAGTACCAAATTTGCCTAATTAAGCAAGCATTACTCAAAACAAGCTAACATTAGCCTAAACAATATGGCATTTCTCCTATTTTTCATCATTGGGTTAATCTAAACAATCCATGTTCAGATTAATGAGCTAATATTTGTCTAAATGTTAACCTCAGTGTTAACCTAAGTTATCTAACAGTTTAAACTAGCTAATGTAAGCCTGAACAAGACAATGTTGCCTCAACAAGGTAATGTTAGTCTTAACAATGTAAAGTCATCCCAAACATGTTGTTATTCTAAACAGGATAACATTAGTCTAAACAAATAGTGAGAATAAACAAGAAAATCTTAGTTAAAACAAGCTAACATTAGCCTTAACGAGATAGCATTAGTCTAAACCAGGTGACGTCAATATATACAAGCAAATGTTAGCCTAAGTAAGCTAACATTAGTCTAAACAGGCTAACTTTAGCCTGTACAAAATGATGTTACTTTAAACAAGAAAACGTCTAACCAAGCTAATGTTAGCCATTACTTTAGCCGAAACCATCTGATGTTTTCCTGCCATGTGTAGAGCATTGTTCCAACAGATGGCGCTGTCTCAGTTCACCAACAGTAACAGGAACATTTTAGGATTTGTACCTTGTGTTGACATGTTGTTGTGTTGTATTATGTGTGTGAGGCTGCTGCTGCTGCTGCTGCTCAGTTAAACCTTCCTACCATCAGTAAGGTGAACCACAGGGCTCTAGTCTTGGTCCCTTAGGATTTACATTGTAAATGTTCCTCAATGAAAATATTCTTTGCAGATGACACAACGTTATACCTTGAACTGTTCTGCATGTTCAGCTCAGTGTATAAATGAAAATATCTGTGTATTTGTGTGCAGTCAGCAGCCTGTTCCTGAGAAGCTGCAGATCAGGGTGAACAGGATCAGCATGGCAGCATATGAGGCTCTGCATTACGACAAGGACCAGCTGAAGGAGGCCTGTGAGTTTCTGTTATTGAAGAGTTAAACTGGAGTTAATACAATAAAACTTATAGTGTGCATCTTTTGTCTGCATAAATAACCAAATCAGAAAGTGTATCAAGGTGTCATGTTTAATCAGTCATGAATTGTTTGAAATGCTTTTAGGAACGTATGCACAGCCTGAAATCTCACAGTATTCCTCTTTCTCCACACTGTGTAATTACCAGAGCTTCAAAAATAGTATTATTAAACATTAATCTGCATATTAAAGCCTATTTAAACAGTGTTTCAGGTATTTTACTGTCATCGCTTTGGCCCTAATGTATCATCTGTTTCTGCAGCAACGCCGCTGGGAGTCATCACCGTCCCTGGAGACAGCGATCTGGAGACCTGCCGTCTGCTCATTGAGCGACTGCAGGACAACCTGGACCAGGTACAGCACCGGACTGCAACATATTTACATTATATAATAATATATTGATTACCGTTCATAAGAAAGGAAAGGCATTCCCAAAACAACAAAGGCATACCCTACTTAGTAATGGCATAATACCAGAAATTTGGTAGTTGGTACCAATACCATTGGATTTCCGCTATTCTCAATACCAAGTTTGAGGTGTTTCCTCCTTTAAATGTTAACATAATACCTCAAATAACATAGAACCAAACGGTTTTCAAGAGTTTTGGCATTGACTTGGTACCACATTGGTTACCATTTTAACGGAGTGCCACAGGGCTCTATTCACGATCTACTACCAATTACATAAATCTTATATTTCCTTCTGAGAACTTTCGCTCACTTTTACAATTTTATCTACATCTGTGAACTGCAGTTAAAAGATTTAAATGTTTGTCTATGTATTGGCTCTTAGTTTATGAATTACTGCTGTGTTAATGCTACAATGCTCGGTGAACTTTAGTCAGAAACTCACTGCTCTCTCTGAAGCCAAGAGAAAAGCAGTCTTTTTATATTTTGGATTTCACAAATGTGTTTAGTTTTTCTCTTTCTGTAAATCCTTTTGTATTTTACATGCTGTGTTGTTTAGCCTCTTGGCATTACCCATGTGATTTAGAATTTATTAAATTTACCACATTTCCCCCCCAGTGATGTCTTTTTGCTGATTTAAGACGTACTGGAGCAGAACAGTGAGTCCAGCCTGAGGCATTCTAGGTTTTTACATTTAACTCCTGTTTTTTCAGGACTGTGATGAGATGAAAGGAGAGTGTCTGTCTTCACAAAAACTCTCAATGAAGTGGTGTTTCCTCGACTGTAAGTCCAAACTAACTCACCGCTTTTCACCAAACAGTCCAACTCACTCAGAGATCCTGAATCCAAACCTGGTGTTTGTTTTTCAGGTACGACTGCAGATCGTTTCTACAGGATCGACCGAGCTCAGGTATTTCACCAAAACTGTTCCCTTGTTGCTATTTTGAAGGAACACCAAAGCCAGTTTAAAAAAATATAAACAAGGAAGAGCTTTTTTTTCTCGTAGCAGAAGTGCAGCAGTTAGTTTTATGAAGAGAAAAGCTCTACATTAACAGTCTGCCAGGATTAATCCATTATTTTTGGCAGCAGGAGGAACAGACTATCAGTGAACATGTTTCTGTCTTTTTTGTTCCAGGAACACCTGAACTACGTGACGGAGATCTCTCAGGAGGAGCTCTACATCCTGGACCCGGAGCTGGTCGCCAAGGAGACGGTGGGCACCTCCCCCGGCATGCCAGACCTGGTGGACTCGGAGGAGCATCAGGACCAGCAGAGGCAGTTCGCCTTCCCCTGCTCACCAACCTCCCCCACCTCCTCAGCCACACCCAGGTGAGAGGAAGCCGTTAGCATGTTCAGAACCAGAACTCCACCAGAAACACTGGAGGAAACGCTTCAGCTGCAAATGGCAACCAAGAACTGACCGCATTCAGAGCAGGAATAATCCATTAAAAATCATGTGAAGTTGAAGTTACAGCGATTAGTTCATACACAGATATCAGAAGAAAGTGATTCTGACACAATTTTTATAATTTCTTCAGTAATTTTACAAGAAAAAATACATAATATGGTTTTAGCTACAAAATGTAAAGATTTTCATCATCATGGACAATTAGAAAGTTACAAATCTGAGGACTTTTTTATTTCATTTTTTACAGTTTCTGTCCTTTTATTTGTTTGTTTGTCTGTTTTAAGAAAACATGCATTGTAAACTCACTGGAGAGTTTCACTGTTTAGAGATATAAGGGCATTTAAGAAACAGAATTCAGTATTTTTCTTCTCAGTATTGTGACACTCCAGTAACTAATGCTTTTACTGTGACATTCTAGGTGCATTTAGCTTTTAACACATTCTTTTAACTAATACCTAAGTTTCGTCCTTGGGAGTATTCTTGCAGTGTGGTGCTGCTGCTTTACTGAGGTGCTTGATGTGAAAACTTCTCTGAGCTCTGAGCGCCTCCTGCTGGAGAAAACATGTCCTGCAGCAGCTGCCGGTGCAGTTCAGAGGCCGAATGAATGTGAATGAAGCTGCTCTGATAGGGCGGGGGGATCGGGGCTGGAGGTCATTATCTGAAGCCATCAGAAATAAAATGAGCTCCTGCTGCTGTTTGAAGTGCTGTTTCCATGGAGCTGCTCATCTGAACCTGTGCCGGTTCAGATTCTGGGTCACTCAGTCACCTGTCGGGACGATCGCTGCCTCCTCGAAATCAGTAACAAGCCAAAGGATCGATGATTAAAGCTGCATGTGGCACAGGACTAACTGCCTTTCTTTTGCCTTTATGTGTCAGGGCCAGAGAATTTCAGAGGAAGAGGATTTCCAGTGACAGTTCGGTGGCCGATGCTTTGTCCCAGAGCTCCTCGAAGACCACCCTCTGCAGGTAGCATCGCCCACATTTATGCTGATCTCAGAGGAAACTGGACAAAATATTTAAACCCTTTATGTAAAAGTGCTGAAACCACACTGTAAAAGTAACTAACTGCATGCAAAAGTCCTGCAAGTAAATCAGGAAA